ACTTATTATCATTATACACTAAAGATAGTTTATAAAGTAGACCGATATATTTGTAATATAAATAATTTTGTATAAAAATTAAAATATAACTAAATATTTACTACAATTTAAAAAATGTAATTTTTTACTTTATTTAAAAAAACATTTTTATAAATCTATGTATGTTAAATAAAAGACCTAAGCCCAGTAACAAATGTAAAAACTAATTGAATATTGGTGGTAATAACATTATTATTATTAGATATTATATATATATGTTAGAGTTTAGTTTTTTTAATGACATATTGTGTTAATTCATTTAATGAAACTATTTATTTATTACAATTTTATTGTGAACTAAATATATTTTGGTTTTTATTTAAAATTTGTTAATAATTATTTAAATGTTTTTTTTTTAAATGAATTAGTTATTGCAATTTTATTGATTAGAGTATTTTTTTTAATAAAGTTTTTCAAAATTTTATTTGTGTTACGAAAAGAATTTCAATACTTGATAAGTATTTTCAAATTTCCTTTCATGTTTTTATGAAATATTTAAAAATAAAAATAAAACAAAAAAGAATTTAAAAAAAATTTCACAACGAAAAAAATTTTAACACATAATTAAACAAATTAATAGTTTAATAGCATAATTTGAATGGTTTTAATGTATTAAACTTCAAAGAAGATACAGTGAATACTCGTTTAATGCGGTCATAAATTCTGACTTTTAAGAAAATAGGTTATACAGGCCGAGCCATTCTATTCTTACAACAAAATAGACACTACACTAATGGCGTTTTCGATTGGTGAATCTAGATTCAATTTCTCAATCTGTCAAATATTATTGGCCAATTTATATTTATGGAGTAATTTAACATATTTGTATTTGTTTAAGTGGGAATTCATATTTTTCATGAATACATACCTATATCGAATCAAACCATCCTATATATGTCAAGTCATATAAAATAGTTGTTAATTTTAGGGTAATCTTACTACTGCGGCCAAATATCTATAGTGTTATAAATTAATCTCGAGTGTTATACCTTTTGCCCCAGATTTACTAATGAAAAATAAAATTGCACTAAAAGTGCATTACAAAAGCACCATGATTGAAAATTTACTCCAGATTTGCCAATCGCAACTGCCAATAGTAAAGTGGAACTTTTCAATTAAATTTATTTTTATATATTTAAAAAACTTTATTAAGTCACAACAGCTATAAAATAATTAAATTAAAAACTTTTAAATTAAAAGAGTTTTTTTTTTATTGAAACACACCATCGTCAATTGCTTACGTACGTCGAATTTCTTCAGACCATCCTATATATGAGAACAACCTTATCTGACAAATTTATGTCATTTGGAATAATCTTTAAATTTTATTGGCCATCGTTTATTGTAAGTGAGATTTTGTTCAGTGTCAAATATTAATTCAAACCGAGCAGACTTTTAGTGTTAAACAGAATATTAAAAATAAAGTTTCTTTCAATAAAACATTTGGTTTATTATATTGTTTATATATTTTATTTTATAAACAATAAGAGAAGATTTTGAAAGAAGCTTATAAGCAGAACAGTTCAACTACATTGAGCCCAAGTTTTGATTACTTACTATATGTTTTGAAACAAATTTATAAAAATATTTTAAAAAAACAGTTCAAACAGTAAGAAATTACAACAACAAAATTTTTTTATATATAATTAATTAAATTTTTGGCTTACCATCAAACTATTGCGAGCTTCTTTATCATAATTGACTTTAGAAACAAAATTAGAAGAAAAAGTAATTTGATCGTCTATTAGAGAAAAAGGATTATCATTTAATTATGAGTACTAAAACTGCTAAAAAGTTGAAAAGGACACGTATATCATTACATCACAAAATTAAAATCCTAAATAAACTAAGTTCTGGTGCAAAAGTAACAACCATTGCTAAAGAGTTTAACTTACGAGAATCAACAATTCGAACTATAAGAAAGGATGAGACCAAAATACGTTCTATTATAACCAATGCTAAACCTGCATTCAATCTGAAGAGAGTTGTACGTATAAAAAATTTATTACTACCCAAAATGGAAAAATATTTAATAATATGGATGAAAGACTGTTATTCCAAGAATATGCCACTAAGTAGTGTTGCCGTAAAAGAAAAGGCCCTAAAGATTTACGAATACCTGAGAGATTTGGAAAGCATTACTTCTAATAAATTACATCAAACTAGATTTAAAGCCAGTACGGGATGGTTAGACAAGTTTAAGAAGAGATGGCCTAATATCATTATAACAGAAAATTCATCAAAATCATTAACTACACAACTCAATGGCGTAAAAGTGGCTAAGGAAAATAACAATGAAGATACTGAAGAGAAGGTTGACGATGTCAATGGTACAGCTAACACCGATTTAATTAATTATAATATAGACATTGATGACACAGAGTTAATAGAATTTATAAACTGCACTAATTCTACTGTTGATGAGGAAAAAATATTAAATATTTTAAACGCATCCGAAAAAAATCCAAATTTGGAAGATATAAATAAAGGATTAGAAATAGCAAGAGCACTAAAAACATATTTCAAAAGAATAGATCCATCAAAAAAGCGTTACACGGAATTTAAAAAAAATTTAACTGATTGCCTATTCTCATATCTTCAAGTTAAAACGAAACTGGAGAAGGAATTGTTTTTGCATGAGGATAGCAATGTGAGTGAGGATGAAACTTATGGCTATACAAGTGATGAAAGTGAACAACCGTTATTGAGAAGACGGGGTTGTTATAATTTATTTACTGATACTTCTGATAGTGAATAAATTGGTAAATAGTAAAATTATTTAATTTATATTAAAAGTTGAATAAAATTATTTTGTTTTTAAATATGTTCTAATAAAGGCTAAGGAATATCAAATTTGTACTTATAAGTATCTAAATAAATCGTTTTTTGTTTATTATCTTAAACTGAATATGGTGTTTTAATTGTTATAATATTTAAAGGTTATAAATAATAAGGAATAGTTTTAGAATTGTTTCAAATTTGGTGTCGGCCTGGTTCATACCGGTTCTAAAATAAAAATACATTGAATTGTTTTTCCAGCCATAATAATCTATAGGTCTGGCCTCCAGTTATAATAAGTTAATTTCAGAAACCAAAATGACACTTCTGGAATAGAAATATAGCTTGAAGTGTTTGTAGAGTCTGAGGCCTATTTCATTTTAAAGCAATATCATTTTACAGATCGTATATCTTTCTTGTAATTATCAAATATTTTTAAGGAAAATTATGTGCAAAAATTAGACAAGGAACTAATTAAAACCTAGAAAAGTGATCTATCAAAAAATAAATTGAGAGATACTTCTAAGACTAAAGTCAAAAGAACTCTTCGAGTTAGACAAACAATGTGAGAATGATTCTAAGGTGCCCTATATTGTCTAAAGAAATCAAAACAGAAGTATAGGATTCTAGATTATCAAATTTTATTGCCCAATCGAACGTTTATAGAGTAATCTAATAGATACTTCTAATAGATAGATACTTCTAAGACTAAAGTCAAAAGAACTCTTCGAGTTAGACAAACAATGTGAGAATGATTCTAAGGTGCCCTAAATTGTCTAAAGAAATCAAAACAGAAGTATAGGATTCTAGATTATCAAATTTTATTGTCCAATCGAACGTTTCTAGAGTAATCTAATATTTTAATAGCTGTGTCACTTACTTACTTAGTTGGGCATTACAGACGTAGTTCTGGTAGTGAGCATTCATATTTTCATATTTCAAGTTGTATAAAAGTGTTATAAATTTCAGAATGATTTTACAACTTTGTCAAAATATCTAGAGCATCATAAATTTGATATTTTCGGAAAATCCTTCGCTGGATGTAATACCAAAAGTTATAAGAAACACTGATTAGAATACACTGATTAAAAACTTAATTACCCCTGAAGAAGAAATATTTGCCACATGCGTTCACTTTTGTTCCGAAAAATGAATCAATTCCTAAAAATATTTTTTCACAAATGAAAATTTGGTCAACTGTTTTTCGTTTGTAAATTTTATTTACGATATATAAAGTTCAATCACTACTATAATAAACTGTTCTATAAACAAAGAATTATTAGAGTGGATCCTAGGTATATATATGTATGTCAGAGTGTGTTGCATTTTTCTGATATAATAATTAGCTAAAAGGTGATAATTACTTAAAAGATGATAATTACCTAAAAAGTGATAATTAATTAAAAGGTAACAATTATCTTAAAGGTAATTATTTTCTAAGAGATAATTATTTAAAAATTTTTTTTAATAAAATGTAATTATTTAGCAATATTTTATTTGGTATCTAGAAATATAATTTTCATTTATGATAGTAGGAATGGGTATAGAACAATATATATCTTTATATACCTACTTTCTTTCTGAGAGTAAATCTTATATTTAAGTATAAACTTTGACATTTTTCATAAAAGTAATTTTAGGTCTCATAAATTATTTTCCTACAAATTTTTAATATAATTTATATTCTTTTCTTTTTTTCAAGTATAACAGTTTTTATTGTTATATTATATGTAATATATTTAAAAAAGCATAATTTAAATAACATGCAATTCTTTACATTTTAAAAAAAATTTAACAGTGACATAGGATAATAATTTTTTTTTGTTTATTTTGAATATTTATAAATATATTCTAATGTTTCTATATTATACAATAATTGGCAAGAGCCAATAAACCACAAGTTTTTTTTTTGACTTTTTAAATAAAATAATGAAATAAAATGCAAATAAAAAATCTTATTAAAATGATAAAATGCATAAAATTATTTCTATATATATATTCTCTTAATTATGCACACAATTAGTGCATAATTTATAGCTTATAAATTTTGTTAAATATATTATTCAAAAATTTTATTTAAATATAATATTAAAATAGTTAATATTTTATTTATAAATTATATAAATAATAATAAAATAAAAGTAATATAATTATTTAGTGGAGAGGAAGGATTGTGTACATACCTTAGCATAACTGTTATAAACTCCACACGCTTGTATAATTACAATAACGGTGAGTATCTTCCATAAAAGTGTTATATTCCTTATGGAATTGGTAGGTTTTCCAAGGGGTGCTCTAGACCCCATTTTGTCGGCACGAAAAACCGCCAAAACTGATTAAATGAAGAAAAATAACAAAAAATAAAACCACTAAGGGTTTTAATAGATTGCCTTCAGTTTTTACAGTTTTTGAATTTAATGTAATTTATTTATTTAATATTCAAAGCAAATGTTTTAACACTAATTGAAGCTATGGCACAAAAACTATACAAAAAAAAAAATGCATTAAAAAAAATGAATGCGAGAATATTAGGTAATTTAATCAAGAGAGGTAATTTGCCAGAGATGAAAAGTAACACTTTCGGTAAATTTTTTAAAATCTCAACTTTTGGAGTTCATTTTTGTACGACTTCAGCATAAATCCGATACCGAAAATTTTAATAAAATTGTCGACGAAACGAAACGTAGCGTTCGCAGTTGGGAACACGTGATGATTTTATATGAACTTTTTGATAGTAAAATAACTGAAGTGGAGCAGATACAAGATATTACCAAAAGTACAAAATTACAACAACAAAATTGAAATTTAATTATGAGTTTTTCAATACTTTTTTGTAACAAGAAGTCATATGTTTTTAGATGTACAAAAAAAATTCTATTTTTATTACAAAATTAATTTAAAACATTTTATAAAAATATATGTATTCATATTTATATTGAAAATTTTATTAAAAATATTTAATAAAAAGTATTGTAAGTTATAATTATATTTTAATTTATAACAATCATTAATTTATATAAATATGAATATTATTAATTTCATTATTTGTTACTCATTACTTAATTTAATTTATATTTATTTATTTCCATTATATTTTATTTAATTACTTATTTTTATTTTTTCACATTTATTATTTATTTATAATTCATGAATTTTAAATTAATTATTTTTAATGTTTATTTTTTGTTTTATTTTTTAAGTTTATTTTCAAGTTTTATTTTTAAGTTTTATTTTTTTAAGTTTAAAATAAGCATTTTTGAAATTCTTAGTTTCTATTTCTTATTTTGTATAGATGTTTTTTTAGCTTATTAAATTATTTTTTTTAATTCATTATTTTTATTCATTAGTTTACAAATAACAAAATAAATGTTTTCAGTATAATATAAATATTTATTTTAAGCGTTTAATTTTTTATTATGAATCAAATATTTTTTCACTATAAATTTAACATAAATATTTTTGAAATTACTATATTTTAATTTTTAAATAAATATTTTTTAAGTTTAATATAAGTATTTTGCTTAGCCTTTTCGTTAACAATAAAATAAATAAATTTTAGAATTGAAATAAACATTTTTTTATGCTTAAAATAAATCTTTATTTTACTGGTTTTTTTTTTATCATAAAAATAATATTTTTGTAAGTTTTATTAAAGTATTTTCGAAATTCTTAGTTCTTTTTTTAATTTTGTGAAAAATATTTTTTAAGTTTAAGGTAGGTATTTTATTGTTTTTTTCGTTATTTTTTATAATGGGTGATGTAATATTTAAATTTATTCTAATGTTGAAAATGTATTTTTTAATTTAAGTAAATATTTATTTTTAATGTTTATTTTCTTTTTTATTTTAAAGTAAGTATTATTTTCAAGTTCAAAAACAAGGAGTTATTTTTTAAACATTTTTATTATATCATTTATTATATCAAATGTTTTTGTTGTCATTTTGTAATAACTTATTATACAACAATTAATTTTTTTTTCGTTTTTTTTTTTAAATGAACATGCTATTTTTAGGTTTAAAATAAAAATTAATTGGCTTTTCTCAAATTTAAAATAAATTTTCATTTATTTTTTTTTTTAATTTAAAATAAATGTTTTGTTTTTTTCTTAAATTTCAAATGTTTATTTGTTTTTCAATTGAAAGTAAAGATTTATTTATTTTTTAAATTTAAAATCAATATTGTTTCTCTTTTAAAATAAATGTAAGTTTTATTTTTTTAAAGTTTTAGTTTTTTGATAAAATAACAGATATTTTTTACATCATATGAGTATAAATATTTTTTTTTAACTCATATTTTTCTTTTTTATGTATTGAATGATATTAAAAAAATTTATTTTTCAAGTTTGACATAATTATTATGTAATATGAAATTTATTTAAAATTTAATATTACAATTAATTCTTTTTTATCTTTAACACACCTTACTTTTTTTTATATTTTGAAATTAATATCTTGTACACAATATATTGATTTCAGACTTAATATATTGTATTCAAATTTTTTTTTTTAATAATAATAATAATTTCTTTAATTTTAGTATTAATATGTCATTATAACTCATATTTTACTATTTTATATGTGAAACAACATACGTTTTTCAATTTAAATATAAATATTGATTTTTTTTTACATATTAACAAAAAAATTTTTTTAAATTTAGTAAAATTATTTCAGGTCATTATGTTGTTTTTTATAATTTAAAATAAATCTATTTTTCAAGTTTTATATAAATATTGTATTTAGGTTTTTATGTTTAGTGTTTTTAAATATTAAAATAAAATTATATCAATTTATATGAAATCATTTTCTTTTAATTTATATGTTTTTTTTTTCAAATAAGTGAAATAACTTAATATTTTTTTAAGTAATACATATTTTTTAGTTTTTTTTTTACTTTTACTTTACCAAATATGTTGTCTTTAAGTTTATTATAACCATTTATTTTTAATTTTTATTTTTTTCTGTTTCATATGTATATATTTATAATATATATATATATTAAATATTTATTTCTTTAAATTTACACAGTTATTGTTTTATTTAAGCTCTAAATTTTTGTTATGTATTTAACTAAAATTTTTTTTTATTTTTTGAAGATTTATTTTAAATGTCTTATTTATTTTATAAATATTTTTATTTTTTTAATTCTTGTATCTTTTTTAATAAAATTTTTTTTTTGTTTTAAATATTTAGTCAGTCTCCACTTCAGTATCTACTAAAATCATTTTCAAATCAAAATTGTTATATTTTTATCTCTAATTTTGCACATTCCGCTTTACAACTTGAAACTATTTTATGATTTTTATGACTTTTCAAAAGTTGATTGTCAACCACGTCACGTTTTGTTATCAGACACACGCGCAAAATTAATCCTTTAATTCCCGATAATAATAGACATGAATCCAATGATCAAACCTTTTGCTAAACGCTTATAGAGATTCTCAAACACAATTGAAATATCCTTGAAATATGGAAAGAATGTCAATTCTGTACGATTATTTGAGCCACGCAACCGAAATTTGCGTCCGTACCGTACGACGGCGCGCAACTGAATGATGAATTCCTTTTTGTCTTGCGATGTGCAAATCAGAGATAAATTTTTTTCTATGTGTGCTCTTTCGACCGCAGGAATATTTTATGTTGTGTGTTTTGCTGAAACTAGTCTTCTGAGCTTTTCCACACTGTACTTTTTTTCAGTGCTTTTTTTTTATTTAACAAGTTAGAAACACCAACCCAAAAGTGCCAGACGACGACCGTCTAAAGACTGAACCCAAGCAACAAGCAAGCGAATATGTTAAGTTAAGCAGCATTAAACGCAGCACAAATAAAAGAAAAAACACAAAAGAATTTTAACCAATCATAACGACTGTGCAAATGAACTATTCTCGTAATTTGATAGGCGGCATTTGCGGCAAATCTGATGAGTCAAGTGTAAAAGGTACATTATTGACTTTTCGTAAGAGTGATTCATGACTACAAATAATTAAAATTTAAAATAGATAAATCAATTTATTTATGAAGTTAGTAATAAAGTAATTTAAATTACTTTAATATTCAATTTATCTTTTCAGAGTTATGATACATATTTTTATATAACAAATGTTTTTTGCATATTATTAATGAATTTAAAAAAACAACTTTTACAAAAAATAATGTTATTATATATGAATTTATTTTTAACTAATGGAATAAAAAATAAATCTGGTGATGAAATATTTTGTAAAATAAAATATGCTCAACTATATTTATTTAATCAGCTATTGAAAATAGTTTTATTACTAAATTGACTTACTTTCTTGTTAATAAGTTATTTACAAAAATTGTTATAATGATTATTGATTGCTTTTAAAATTTTGACTTTGCACTATTAACTTACGATAAAAAATAAATCAAAGACAGTTCTCTTAAAATATTAGATTCTGCAGATACTATGCTTATACCACAGAACACACTTTTGAGAAAAATGCAATCCATAGAAAATCATAAACATAAATCACACAACTGATCTAATAATCTTAGCCACCAGTACATATGTGTATTATAACGGATTACCCAAGAGATAACTGTTAGTATTTCAAAAATGACTTAATATTGACTATTGTAACTATTTATAACTATTTAAATAGTGCATATATTTCTGCAGAATCTTCAAGAGATCATAGTCAATATTGAAAAGAAGTTTTCAATATCTATTTCAGGAGTATATATATTACAACGGCTTTCGCAAGTGATCACTGTCAGTATTAAGTAAAAGTTTGCCAAATTCTAAATGACGTTTGATCAAAAACCACTAGAGATTTCGTACGATCCACTATATGCAATGAATTTCGTGTAAACAAACAAAAGCTTTCACTATACAAGACGATGACTATGTCTTTGAATGATCGCAAAAGAATAGATCTTTGCTTTTCAACTTAGCTGAAAATAATGAAATTTGTATTGACATACAATAAAATCGGAGAACATTATCAAGACATATCAAGACGTAGCGTGTTGTATTTAATATATTTTTTTTATTTTATTAAAATGTAATATAAAAAACCAAACATGCAATGTGTGTGAACATCAACATATATCAATATATTATGAATACATTATTTACTATATATAATTAATCATAAGTAAAATTATAAAAATATACTTTAATAATAAAAAAAAAATAATAATGCTATTCTTTCGCTCAAATATTTGTTTCATTGCGTCTGCCTTAGGTAATTTTGAAAAAAAAAACAAGTGCTACTGTCAACGATTTATTTTCGTTATTGTAGCAATTCACCATCAGAAGTCAAGTTACTAGAAATGTGAAACATATCGCATGATTATAAGTAATAGTTAGTTTAAAATATAAAATTCGTCATATAATTTGTATTCTCGCGAGTACCAGAAAATCGTTTTTAAATAATCTCATGGGAATAATGAAATTGTAGTTACCGGAACAAATATTTAACAATAAATTATGAGACATGGGGAAAAGCTTATAATAATTAAAATTAATTACACTGTCCTATATTCTGTACTATCACAAAAATTAATGAATTTGTAAGACAAATGTTCGACAAGTACATAGTAATGCGTGTCATTGTATACATATGATATATATTTTGTGATTGATAGATGCTGGAGTTTTTTTATGGAAGCACTTCAAGTCATTGGTCTATACAAACAATATCAGAAGTGAGTCCTGCGTTAGAAACAAGATTGAGTGGACAATTCTTCACATTTGAAAAGTTGATGGAAAGGTTGTAGCTCAGAATATAATTTAAATTGTTTCCATAATGAAATTACATCAAAATCATATTTTGTCAAAAAGCTATATATATATAAATAAATAAAAATATTTATTTAATATTTGTTTTTCTCAATTTGAAATATCACATTTCTTAAGAAAACACTTTATATTCGAATATATATCATTTCATACAGTATGTGCTAAAATAAATAATTTTTTTAATACATATACTTATATACACTTATTACATCAATAATAATAAACATTACCTCTAAACAATTTATTTAAAATTGATTTTATTGATTTTATTATAATCATCATAATTACTTAATAAAACAAAACCGTATAGCTTTTAATTAGTAAATACACAATTCGACTGATTCCGATAAGACTGACAATCGCATTGTAGTTCATGAAAACAAAAGTAAAAAAGTCCAAAAGTACCGCACAAACATAGCAACAAACTCTTCTCACATATGTCTAGTATCTTGCTCTCACTGTTCCCATTAACTACTCTTCTCATGAGTGATACTCTGATATTTGTTTTTTTTCCCGCTGTCCGCAAGAAAGTGCGTTCGTTCATTAATGGAGTTAGTATTATAATGGTCACAAATACGTGTGTATACGTGCTCGCAAGGTGCGTGTATGCGTAAGCGATTTGATCGTGCAATAGGCGCCATAGGTGCAGGATGGGTCATTAAATTTATGTTACATATTTGCTAAGTTTATCAGTAAATAATATTAATAAAAAAAAAATAAAATAAAAAAAAAAGAAAGTATATTGCTAAATTGATTAAACCTATTAAACTATAAAAAAAAGTTTAAGCTGATGTCGCCTTGATTCTGCTTGTCCGGTTTTATGATACCAAGAAGACGAATAGGAAAGGATGTCAAATAAGGTGTCAAGTGTAATATTAATTTATTTATATTTTTTTTTGTGTTTTTTTAAGACATTTTTTAAAATAAAATAAAAAAATTTGATAAAACTATTTTATTGCAATTTCTGTAAAAGCTGTTTTGAACATAATTTTATATGTTATTTTGAAAAAAAAAAAAATTTTTATAATTGTTTCTGTAAGAAGAAATATAGAAGAAAAATATAGAAGAAAAGTCTTATATATGTTGATTGTATTAGAAAGCAAAAATTTGTATTTGCAGCTAAATTTTTAACACTAGCTGTGAAATACATAAAAAAAAATTATTTATAAATAATATAAATATAAAATAATTATTTTAATATATAAAATTAATCACTTATCAATGAAATTATATAAATAATATATTTATATAACTTATATTAATAAAATATATAATTAATTTTAGTATCCAAAGCTATTATTTATAATTTTGATTGCAAGAGGAGGATAATTAGTATCAGCATCTTAATTAAATGATAAGAAAAAAATTTTAACTCACCATTGATGACAGCATTTATTCAAATAATCGGATAACCCATATTGATGAAAAATGAGTCTTAATAAATTGAGGATCTCGTCATAAAAATTCTCAATATTAAGTAATAATTAAAAAATTAAAAAAAGAAAAATTGTTCACACACAACATGTATTTGATAAAAAATTAAAATTTATTAAAAAAAAATAACATATTTTAAAATTCACATCTAAACCCACTCAAAAACTGCGACTCGACATAATCTCTCCAACCAAAATTGCTCAAAAAATGCGTAAACTGCAGAAATGAATTTTAGTTGCAAGAAAACGTACTCATATTTGGGCACCACCAATACACCACAAATAAAGTCAATAGCGGCTTTATACGTTACCAAGCAAAAATTATATTTCAGGTTGATTTGCCGGCAAAACAAAAACAAAACGTGTTTTTTGTGTTATATTTTTATTTTGTTTTGATTTTCGTTTTCTTTTCAAATAAAACTAAAAACAAAAAGAAAAATTTCTTCCTACGCTTTATGGCGCAAAAAGTTGTAGGGCCACTTTATTACCAAGTCAATAAAGCAAAGCACAGCACATGCACAGCAACAACAATAAAAAAACCAACGAAAAAAAAGCTTGAAGTACAAATGAAAACAAACACAAAAAGTAAACAAACAGTCAAATTCACGCATACGAACGTGAACCGGTAACTGAAAATCATTTGCACCTTAAAAAAGAAAAAAGAAGAAAACAAAAAGAAAGAAAAAGAAAAAGCAAACCAAAAACAAATTTTATGTCACTCTTTTAATATACAATACCGTGTGTGGCAAGCTTTTGGAGTCATCATTGAAAATGAGCAAATGTACAATCGTTTGTTGTTGTTGTTGTTGTTTTTGTTTATGTTATTAGGGCAACAGAGGCAAGTGTGAAGTGCCAATAACACAAACATCAACACAAACAAAAAATAAATATAGAAACAAAAAGGTAATTATTTAAACTAATCATATCAACTACGGTATGTGTAAATATTCTTTAAAGAAAAATAACTAAAAATAAATCAATGCTCAGTGGCAGTGTAAACACACGTACAATGAAGTCATATTGTATTATAGTAAATGTGTATTAAAAACAAATTATTATTGAGTTGCCATGTTAATTGAAATCGCTAAATAGTTTTCCAATGCCCTTTTAGTACAGAATACTAAAGGCAGTACTAAAGCTGAGACTTAGTTTGCGAAGCAGTGTTTTCATTTTAATGTAATAGAATTATAAAAATTCTATTATATTTTTACAATAAGTATAAATACATATAAGTCATTATAATATATTATAATACAATATAATACAAAATGTAATATTGCAATAAAATAAATACTATATATTAAGTAAATATATTTAATATATTGTACTATTACATACATTTTAATAAATAGTAACCCCATATTTTGAAATTTGTTGTCTCTTCTTCTTATTTAAACTACTCTTTAGTGTAAACGTTGGCCTTTCATTCAAAATAATTTATTGAAGTAATTAAGTCAGTCATGAAAAGTGTTATTTCGTCCTAATAGTGTAAACAGTGCTGCTAAAAAGGA